TGAACCAGGCACCACAGGCCTCAAGCACAGAGCATCTTGGGGAGGCACCCTCTGGGCTGAGCCAGGAAGCAGTGTGTGCCCTCCCCAGGTCCTGGCATGTGCAGAGAGTGTGTTGTGGTCATGGGGTACACGGGATGAGGGGAGGGTAGAGTGAAAGGCTGTAGCAGCAGTATGGCCAGAGAGGCCATGAGTGCAACCTGTGACTGGCCTTGAATGCCCAGCGAAGGTGTCTGGCCTTGGCTCTCCAGCAGTGGGCAGCACTCAAAGGATTTTGGGACAAGTCTGACCTAATGTGTGTGTTAACTGTGGAGCCTAATCTTGTTCCATTGAGTCTCCGTTAGGACATCCCAGCTGGGGAGGGCACCCCAAGGCTATGACTTCCTGTGGGCTGCCAGGCTTTCACACAGGAGTACAGGGCCTGTAAAAAGAAGGGGCCCTCAGTCAGCCGTTTCCTGCCAACAGCTTTGGCAGGCAGAGGGCATTTTGTTTTTGAAGTCCCCAGGTGATTCTGCTGTGGTTGGTCTGAGCTCTGACTCAGGTTAAGTTTATGTTCTTCTTAAGAGTTATTACTGTGCTATCTTGTTTTCTTTCAAGAAGAAAATCAGCAGGAAGGACTCTATTACTTAATACCTTCCCACCCACTTGGCAGTTTTTATTCGTATGGCCACCAGCAGTTTTCAAACAAAACTTTAAAAACCACCTTTTTCACCAGCACACACATTTTGGCTTTAGTGCAGCATCATTCTCCACAATAGGTGAGAAGAGCAAGGCTTAATGAGGCGCACTGAGGAGCTGATTCCCGTCCTGTTGTGGATTCCACTATGGGAGAGTGCAGTGAATTTAAAGCTGCAGCTCATTTTCATCTTTGTAGGGTAGGCTGGGGAGATAGGTCAGCGGTATTAGCACCTGCCTGCCTGGCAAGAGCAAGGACATGAGTTTGATCCCAGGTACAAAAAAAAAAAAGCTCCATTTTTGTAGGCAGATGTAAGAACCAGATTTTGGGGCTACATCCAGCACCTGATCCTGTCCTGTCCTAATGGAGCTTACATGAGAGAAATCAAACATTTTCTGGTGGCTTGAATATTTTATTTTACGGGGAACACAGAAACATTGTCACACTTTGCAGTGCATACATGTATTGTAGCTGTCCATGGGTATCCAGGGGGGATTCCAGGACTTCCTGTGGCTACCAAAACCTGACGATGCTCAAGTCCCTTATGTAAAATGAGAGTTTTTGCATATAATACATTCCCCTGTACTTTAAAATCATCTCTACATTACATGTATACTTGATACAATGTGCTATATAGTCATGCTATATTGCTTAGCAAATACTGGTAAGAAAAAACTGTACAAGCAAAAATGTAAAACATTTTCAATCCATAGTTGGTTGCATCTGCGGATGTAGAATGTGCAGATAAGGAGGATGACTGTACATTTCTGTTACAGAAAATTGAATATTGAGAGAACTAAAGTAACCTGAAAAATACTCAGATCTTCCAGACCCCTTCATGCCTGGATATACCCTTAGATCTGGGGTCATTCCCAGAGCTAGAATCATAGGTATTTGCTGTTTTGTAGTCTAGCATATTTTCATTTATAATATAACATTTTTGAAGGCTAGTGAATATCATCCTTTTCAATTAGCTGCATAGTATCAAATTATATAGGTAATTCCCATGGTTTATTTCTACCACCCAGCATTTTCATTTTGTGTAATTCCCCTGTTACCACCTTAAAGTGGACTCTCACGTGTGTAGAGCTGTGAGAGGCGACATCCATTTTTAGTTCTTACATAATTATGCAACTGTGTTCTCCGCCTGGCCTAGAAGGACTCATGCTCTCGCTGCAGTGTGTACAGCTGTGGACTTACTTCCCCACTGTGGGAAAGTCCTAAATGTCAACATCCGACCTCAGTGACTGCAGGATTTGGCCACAACTCTGGCCTGTAGCCCCATGCAGATCAGCATGGCCACTTAACCCATGTTGGTGCCGACCACTTTGCTGTAGCCAAGGTTTACAAGGGAAAAGATTGAATGCAGGACACATCATTTATAGGATTATTTTATAAGATTTACCCAAAAAGTCAAATGCAGAAGAGTGCACATGACTGTCCACACTCCAGAGACCCAGAGAGTCCAGCTGAGGGCCTGGATACCATGGCAGTGTCCTGCACCAGTCCAGCTGGAAACCCAGAGCCCAGGACAATGTCTCATGCAAGTCTGTATCAAGGACCTGCATGGGGAAGGTCCAAAGGTCAGTGATGGAAGCTAGAAAGTCTGCACCAGTTGGGTGAAGGGTCTGTGCTAGCAGGCTGAGGGAATCTGTGCTGGAGCCAGAAAGCAACACTCAAAGGACCAGCAAGATAGCTTAGCGGACTAAGTGGGGTTCCACGATTCAATCCCTGGCACTGTATGTCATGCCGGCCCCACCCCCCTGACATGTTGATGCATGCCTGTAATCCCAGCAGTAGAGAAGCTGAAGACAGAAGGATCACTATGAGTCCTAGCTGTGTAGTGAGACCCTGCACACACACACAAAAAAAGCGACACTCAAATAAGGACCAGAGCTTCCCCCACAGCCATCCTCAGTGACAATGTGAACTGGAGCTCCTCCAACAATGAAAACAGCTGTGTTTGTATCAGGAAAGCTGGCATGACAAGCTTCACCTGGAGAATCAACAGCACTCTCTTCCCCTCCAGTTCTCTTTTTGTGCTGTTGGCAATAACCCTCGGGTGGCCCTTCCACACCCAGCACCACACTGATCCAGTTCAATTGGATGTTACAAGCTGACCATTAGTTAATCCATCACACACACACTCTGTCAAAACTTAGAATGGATGACTTCTAGAGCTGAAAACAAATATCACCTAAGCCAGCCCTTGAATCTGATAAAAAAAAAAAAAGGACACTCTGGTGTGGAGAGTTTCAAATAGGGGTGACATACAGGACCCCAGGCCTTCACCCTGCAGACCACTCTGCCTCCTTTCCCTCTCTGAGACTGTATGTTCCCCTGCCACACATGCCATGCCCCGCCCCTTTCCAGCATGCAAGGGATGAATTCCGTTACTTCTGCAGAGAGGTGAGATCAAGCATTTATTTCTTCTATCCAGGTTCAATTTTTCTGCTACCCAAGATGTCCTAACAGCAGGAGGTTTTACATCCCAGCAGGGCGCAGAGCGAGCATCCTAGATCCCCAGACCAACCCTTAATTGTTCTTTAGGGGACATGCCCCACCACCAGTGTGTAACATCTGAGCCTGTCAGCTCTTCCTCCTAGATACTGTTGGCTTCTGTCATCATGACAGATGCTGGTTTCCCTCCTGATTTTCCAAGTGTTCCTCCCTTGACCTATGCCTGCCTTCCTTCCTTGTCACTTTGTGACATTATTTCCAGTGGTAACTCTTCACTCCTCTACTGTTGCCTTATCATAGCCCTTATCTGTTAAGGCCCAATTGTTCATCACGACCCTGGTCCCACATTTCCAGCTGCCTCCTAGTTCTCTTAGTTCTGAGTTTCTCAGCTGTGGCAAGAGTGTTTAGCAGCATCATTCATTAGATATCAGTGACACCCACTCTGTTTTGACAGTCAAAAGTATCCCAGGGGCTGGGGAAATAGCTCAGTAGAATAAGCACTTGCCTGACAAATACAAGGTCCTGAGTTCAATCCCCATTACCACCAAAACAAAAAGAAACTGACTAACCCAGACTTTGCAGATACCCTTGAAGGTATCACCCTGGAGAACCACTGCCTTAAGCAGGTTCAACATCATGAAAATGAAGTTTCCACCTGCTTCTCCATTCTCACTAACTAAAATAGGGTTGATAAGATATCCTGAAATTCCAGCATGACTTTGTACATGGTAAAGGGCAAGAAGCCAATGGCAAAGGAGCCAGGATCACAGAATTCAGAGAGTTGGAGGAGCCTGAGTCCCTGTCGCCCCATTGACCTCTGTATTTAGACCTCGTTTCCTTTTCAGCAAAGCATTCCAGTTGATACGAGACCATAGGTCTTTTGCAAAAAGGAAGGGAACCAAGAAATGGAGGGAGGGGGAGAGAAGAGGGGCAGGGATGAAGGAAAAATTAAGGTGCATTGTGCATGTACCAGCCCCCTACAATGAATGAATCATTGTGTACTACAAACATCGGTTTGTAAAAAATCATTTTAAAAAACATTGAAACCAAAAAGAACAAAATAAAGGATGGATAATAGGAAACTGGGAGATGGATCCTTTGCAAGTGGGGATGGAAACGAGTTCTAGGGATAGAGGGAAGGAGAGTGAGAGCAGAGCAAGGGGAGATGAAAAGAATAAGACACATTACTTGCATGTACCAACTCCTCTTGATGAATGTAATCATTATGAATTGCCCACAGATAATAGGCTATTAATTTTTTATATAAAGGAGAAAGAAATGATATGAAAGATGAATTTTTGTGCTATCCTCTGATCAAAATTGTCATGATTACCTGTGTAGTTCTAGGGCAGAGTTTAGTTTACCTATATAGTTCTAGGTAGAGAACTTGTTGATGTGGCTTTTGACTGCTCTTGTTAAGACAGGGCTTTGCAAAATAAAATAAAATTAAATTAAATTAAATTTAAAAAGACAGGGTTTTGCTATGCAGTTCAAGCTGGCCTTGAACTCACAGTGATCCTCCTGCCTCAGCCTCCTGCGTGCTGGGATTACAAGTGTACACCAGCACATGAGCCTGGCTATTCTTGTTGAAGACCTATGATACCGTGTTTCCAAGACCAGGCCTGAAACACAGTTGGTATTCAGTAGATAAGAGTGGAATAAGTCATTTGAGTAGTGATTGTCCTGGGTAGGTAATACCTTTAACCTTTTTTTTTCCTTCACTTTTTACTTTCCAACTTTTCCACCTGTGGGAGTATTTGGTACTTTATAAGAAAGGTGGAAACTCCATGATCATTTTTCTGTAATTCAGAAAGAGAAAAAGCCTTGAAACAACCCTGGTCTCATTCTGCATGTCTTGCCTCCCTAGGTCTGAGCTGCCAGAACCATGGCGACCAGCGCTGTCCCCAGTGATAACCTTCCCACCTACAAGCTGGTGGTGGTGGGAGATGGGGGTGTGGGAAAGAGTGCACTCACCATCCAGTTTTTCCAGAAGATCTTTGTGCCTGACTACGACCCCACCATTGAAGACTCCTACCTGAAACATACAGAGATTGACAATCAGTGGGCGATCCTGGATGGTGAGACCTGAGGGCAGTCCTGTGGGGGTGGGTGTGAGGGGCAAGGAAATGCATCAGGTGTTAGAAGGGCAGCACAATTTCACAGGAGGGAAAGCCTTCCCAGCCAGCTTGAAAAGCTTTGTGAAAACTAGAATGTACATTCAGCAAAGAGACAATGCTAGAATCATGCTAACTCAGCAATGTCATGTTTGTTATTGCTTGCTTGATCAGAGGCTCTGATTAACAGTTACAGATGTCTCTAGCTAATAAGAAAGGAGAGAACAAACTATTTTTAATAAGCATAGTTTATTTAGTAATTGTCCTTTTGAGGGGTAGATCTTGCTTCTGCCATTATGTTTCTAGTTTGGTTTAAATTCGTATTTCTCAAAGTATTGTTTCCTGGGAACTTACTAGAAATGCATATTTTCAGGCCCCTACTGATTCAGAAATTCTGATGATGATGGTGAGCCCACCAGCCTGTTCAACATACTCATGTCATATGAGGTGAAAAGTCATTGCTCTCCATTTGTACTGATTATTATATTGTATCCCCCAAGTCTTTCTCTTAAACAAAGACCCCTTTATTACAGAATGTCCATCTGGGAAGGGAGCTTTGAACACTGTTGAGATACAAATTCTCTATCAGACTTGTGCTTTGCAAATATTTTTTTCCAGTCTGTGGCTTGTTTTTCTTTCAAAGGCCAGACCTTTTAATTTTGATGAAATCCAGTTTATCAGTTTGTTCTTTTACAGATTGTACTTTTGGTGTTGCATCTGAGAAAGCTTTGCCTATGTCAGAGTCAGAACAGTTTTGGTTTGTTGTTTTCTATTTCTCCTGGAAGTTTAATGATTTTACATTTAGGGTTTATGATCTATCCTGAGTTGACTTTAAAAACATGGTGTAAAAATGGGACGAAGTTCATTTTTCTTTGAATGGACATGGAGTGATTCTAGAACTATTTGTTGAAAAGACTATCTTATCCCCACCAAGAGGCTTTGGGCTTCTAGTAAAAATCTGCTGTTCACATAATCTGTCTCTTTAATCTACTGATCCTTTTTTAATTTAATTTATTTATTTATTTACTTTGGTGGAACTGGGGGATTGAACTCAGGCCCTTGCACTTGCCAGAGAAGCAGTTATTCTACTGAGCCCTGACCCCAGCCCCAATCTGTTCATCCTAACACCAGTACTATCTGGGGTATATTTCTCTTCTTTTTGAGATAAAATATCCAACATCCAGAGTTAAGGAAGAAAGGCTTATTTAGCTCACAGTTGGTAGAGATTTGAGCCCATAATCTGCTGGCTCCAGGGCAGGGTGGTGTGGCTGAGGGGCGACTGTTCCCAGTGGCAGAAGATACCAAAGCAACAAGAATAAAGTGGGGAATCTATTCCTCCCTTGTTGTATTCGGGCTACCGGCCCTCCCCTCGGGGCGGGTGGGTGTAGCACTCACAGCCCCCAACTCCAGCACTAGAGAATAAACCAATCACAATCTCTAGACTCTGCCTCCTCTGAAAAGCCCACCCCATGACCTCAGGAAGCTTTGGTGGGACATCCAGATGCCAACCGTAACAAGTACCACACTGCCTTGATAGTTGCTGCCCTGGAAATATTAAAATCAAATAGTGATAAACTTCCAGCTTTGTTATTTTTCAAAGTCATTTAAACTACTCTAGGTCTTGAGTATTTCCTTATGAATTTTAGAATCAGTTAACATTTTAGATTAACAGTGTTGAACCTCAAGGGCCAGCCAGATAGCTCAGCGGACTAAAGTGCCTGCTTAGGCAGAGTATAGCGGCTGGGATTCAGTCCTGGCCTGCTGTGCCGGTCCTGCCCCTGGTGCGCACTGAGACTGGGCGTGGTGGTGCACACCTGTAATCCCAGTGCTTGGGAGGCTGAAAACAGGATGATCACTATGAGTCTGAGCTATGTAGTGAGACCCTATAGACCCTGTACTAAATACATTTTTTTAAAAAAAGCAAAAAACAAAAAAAAAATGTTGGACCTTTTAACCCATGAATGCATGAATTTTTCCATTCATTTAGGTCTTCTAAAATTTTTCTCATTAGTTTCTTTGTAGCTTTGAGTATCTTTAACTATTTACTAGATTTATGCCTATATCTGTATTGATTGTATTATAAATTATTTTTAGTTTTTAGTTTTTTCTTGTTTGCTGCTAGTGCATATAAGGAACCACTTTTACATATAAATTTTATAACTGCAGGTTGTTGTGATGACTTTTTTAGATTCTGCTGGATTTTTCAGCCTAGGTAGTCGTGTTCTGTGATGAAAGCAGTTTTGCCTCTTCTTTTCTAATCTTGGTGGCTTTTACTTCTTTTTCTTGCCTTATTTCATTGACATGTACACTGTTGAACAAAAGTCCTGAAACTAGGGAAGCATTGAGTATGATAATAGCTATAGATTTATTATAGATGCCCTTTATTGGGTTGAGTAAATTGCTTTCTATTTTTACTTTACTGAGAGCTTTTAATCAGAAATGCCTGTTGGAGGCTGGGGACATAGCTCTGCAGTCTAAGCGCCTGCCTGGCAAGGGCAAGGACCCAAGTTTGATCCCCAGTACTGCATGGTGTGCCAGCCCTGGAATCCCAGGTGAGCTGCGTAGCAAGACCCTATATCAAATAAATAATTATTTTTAATTTAAAAAAAAAGAAAAGCCTATTAGATTTTGTCAGATGCCTTATCTATGTACTGAAATAATCATATTTTTTTCTTTTTAGTTTTATTAATATAAGAAATTACATTGCTTTCTTTTCCGATCCCCTTCCCTTCCCTTTCCTTTGTGTTGAGGGAAGAGGGAACCTAGAATCTTGCACATGCTGGGTAAATGTTACCACTGAGAGATACATTGCTGTATTTTCTTTTTTAAAAAACTTGGAGAGTCCGGTCTCAAAATGGAGGTAAAACCGCAGCCCGGTCGCCCCCAGCCCGACTCCGGCCGTCGCCGTCGCCGCCGGGGGGAGGAGGGCCATGATCCAAAGGAGCCAGAGCAATTGAGGAAGCTGTTTATTGGTGGTCTGAGTTTTGAAACTACCGATGATAGTTTAAGAGAACATTTTGAAAAATGGGGCACACTCACAGATTGTGTGGTAATGAGAGATCCTCAAACAAAACGCTCCAGAGGCTTTGGTTTTGTGACTTACTCTTGTGTTGAAGAGGCGGATGCAGCAATGTGTGCTCGACCACACAAAGTTGATGGGCGTGTAGTGGAACCAAAGAGAGCTGTTTCTAGAGAGGATTCAGTAAAGCCTGGTGCCCATCTAACAGTGAAGAAAATTTTTGTTGGTGGTATTAAAGAAGATACAGAAGAATATAATTTGAGAGACTACTTTGAAAAATATGGCAAGATTGAAACCATAGAAGTTATGGAAGACAGGCAGAGTGGGAAAAAGAGAGGATTTGCTTTTGTAACTTTTGATGATCACGACACAGTTGATAAAATTGTTGTTCAGAAATACCACACTATTAATGGGCATAATTGTGAAGTGAAAAAGGCCCTTTCTAAACAAGAGATGCAGTCTGCTGGATCGCAAAGAGGCCGTGGAGATGGATCTGGCAACTTTATGGGTCGTGGAGGAAACTTTGGAGGTGGTGGAGGGAATTTTGGCCGTGGTGGAAACTTTGGTGGAAGAGGAGGTTACGGTGGTGGAGGAGGTGGCAGCAGAGGTAGTTATGGAGGAGGTGATGGTGCATATAATGGATTTGGAGGTGATGGTGGAAACTATGGTGGTGGTCCTGGTTATAGTAGTAGAGGAGGGTATGGTGGTGGTGGACCAGGATATGGAAACCAAGGTGGTGGATACGGTGGTGGTGGAGGATATGATGGTTACAACGAAGGAGGAAATTTTGGTGGTAGTAACTGTGGTGGTGGTGGGAACTATAATGATTTTGGAAATTACAGTGGACAGCAACAGTCAAATTATGGACCCATGAAGGGGGGCAGTTTTGGTGGAAGAAGCTCTGGCAGTCCCTATGGTGGTGGTTATGGATCTGGTGGTGGAAGTGGTGGATATGGTAGCAGAAGGTTTTAAAAAACAACAGAAAAGGGCTACAGTTCTTAGCAGGAGAGAGAGCGAGGAGTTGTCAGGAAAGCTGCAGGTTACTTTGAGACAGTCGTCCCAAATGCATTAGAGGAACTGTAAAAATCTGCCACAGAAGGAACGATGATCCATAGTCAGAAAAGTTACTACAGCTTAAACAGGAAACCCTTCTGGTTCAGGACTGTCATAGCCACAGTTTGCAAAAAGTGCAGCTATTGATTAATGCAATGTAGTGTCAATTAGATGTACATTCCTGAGGTCTTTTATCTGTTGTAGCTTTGTCTTTTTCTTTCTTTTCATTACATCAGGTATATTGCCCTGTAAATTGTGGTAGTGATACCAGGAATAAAAAATTAAGGAATTTTTAACTTTTCAAAAAAAAAAAAACTTGGAGATATGGTCTAGTTCAGGCTGGCCTTGAACTCACTATGCAACCCAAGCTAGCCTTGAATTCACTAGCAGCTCAAACTGGCCTTGAATTTGTGGTGATCCTTCTGCCTTAGCCTCCTAAGTGCTGGAATTACAGGTGTGTACCACCACACCCAATTTGTTTTCTTTTTCTGATGTTAATACAACTTTGCATCTCTAGAGAAGACCCCATTGATGATGTGGTTTTTTTTTTTTTTGGTTGTTTGTTTAGTATATTGTTGGCTGATTTGCTACAATTTTGGTTAGAATTTTTACATCTATGGTTTTTATTTTTTTGTTTTTTGTACTGGGAATCGAACTCAGAACCTTACACTTGCCAGGCAGGCGCTACTCCACTGAGCTAGATCCCCAGCCCCTTCATCTATGTTGTGAGGGAAAATTGGTCTATATTTTTCTTCAGATGTCCTTGCCTGCTTTTGATATCACAGTGATCCTGGCCTAATAGAATGTTAGGAATTTCCTCTTTTTCTTCAAAAATCTAGAAAAATGAGTAAAATTGGTATGTTTCTTCCCTAAATGATTAGTAGAATTCATC